CAGAGTGTGTAGATGTAAATGCACAGACGCAGCGGAGTGAATCCAGTCAGAACTCTGTCACAGCATCGGTGCTTCAGGCTGTTGGGTCTTCATGTTAGACAGCACAGAAGCATACCCACAGGCACACCACAGGCTCCGAAACAGATACGAATAGGTGTGCATGTGAATAATTGACATGCAGGAGGAACAAGATCATGGCAAGGATTTCTCCTTCAGGACAAACTGGGATGCTTTCATGATACAATGAGTGTTACAAAGAAAACTGTCCGCTTTTAGACAAAGATCTGTGACCTTTTTCCTTTCTTCTTCTATTTTTCTTCTCTTCTCCCTAGACGCCCATCACTCAGAGGAAGACAGAGAGTTCATGCAAGGATCACTGTGTCTGCACAGGAAACTGTGTAATGTTAATCACAACTTTAATTTGGGCTGAATTAGCATTTTGATGAACTTGCAGGGCTGACTCGTGTACTCTAAGCACCTTCAAACGCAGCTCGTGCTGAGGAAATGGCAGCGTGGTTAATTAACACTAGCACACAACAGATGGGCTCAGTGACACAGAGAGCAAGACTTGTCATGAGAAAAAATCCAACATTTTTGAGGCGGGTAAAGAAGCACCAAATAACATTTGTGACCATCCCTCCTCAAATAGATGGTGTGGTTCAGAAAGCAGGTACTACTAATAAAGAGCACTCAGTCTTTTCAGGAAAACAGTCCTAAGCATCTGTAATAGCTCACAAAAAACCCACAACTGGCATACCTTGCACAAACGTGAAACTTGTTTACATATTCCCAGCTGTTCCAATCTCTGAGCACAGAGTGTGCCTCAACATGGTGTCCAAGTCTCACCGCCTTTCACTCATTACGTGAAATCTTCTACTCTCGCACTGACTTCTTTTTTCATGTCTCCTTTTTCTTTAAAACACCTTGTTACCACTTGATAACAAGATACCACTCTCATGTTTTTCATATACATTGCGTTACATTGTGTTTGTCCACCTTTCCAGTAATAGACACTAAGTCCTCTCCATCTCTCACATTTCCTGTGTGTGATGCATAATGTCACATCAAGTCAGGTAACCTGTGTCTGCGGTATGGTATCGGTTCATCAAAACATTATCAAAGCCATAAGAGGAGATATAAGACATGGAAGTAAAAGATGCTATAAATAATTATTTGGATCCTCGTGTCACTCTGGGTCAAAAATCAAATTAAACAATTTTACATGACAAACATTAATCAGCTGTGGCCCTGTTTAGTACATTTCTCCTGCGTTCCAGGTAACCCCATGCTTTGCAAACATCATAGTTCATTATATATATATTCTACATGTACACCTCCTGTCAATTCACAGAAATTTACAGCTAATATGTGAAATTGATGCAGCAACGCCGTTTGGAGCAGACCTCTATTTAACTGACGTAGTCAGGAACTGAAGGGACATTTGCATCTAAAGTTCTTTCTCTTCTTTTCTTTTATTTCTTTCATTATTTCATTGTAATTGTTTTTTTTATGATCTCAGTGTCTGTCTTTGTTAGTCTTTTAGATTTGGCTAAAATGTTTTATTCACCAATTTTTTTGCTTTGTCCTGCATGCCCTATTGAAAGCTGAGGTAGTTTTGATGTGTTCTGTCAATTAAATGTATATTTCAATTAGTTGAAGTTTCCTTTTTTTTCTACACCCGTACAGTAAATTGATAACTAATAGTTGACTGTAGTTAGATGCATCTATTTGGAGTAATGAAGAAAATCAAGGTACCTGGACAAAAATCCAAGTTGGTTTAAAGAGAACCTGCAAACACAGTCAGAATTTCTACTAGGAACGTCCTTAAAGTTTGTCAACAGTGCTACCTACTGTGCTGCTGCTCGACCCAGTCAAGTCAGGGAGCGGATTCATAAAAATTGTAGACAGGAAAGGCCACTGTGAGGAGTAACTTTTTAAAATATGTAGCACGGTGTTTTGTGAATTAATGATGTTTTGATTTGAAGTCTTAAGATGTTTTTTTGTTTGGCTTTTGTGTGTTTGGATTAAAAAAATACCATACAGTATTCCCTTCACTCTTAAGGAGTGGCTTTGTCCAGAGCAGGACACTGTACCGGTATTCCTAAGAATTCATAGAAACGTACAAGAACCAGACACTTTTGAGATTCCTGTCGCGTGGTGAGAGGCAGGGTACACCCTGGGCAGGTCAGCAGTCCATCGCAGGGCCACAAGGACACGAACAACCACTCAGATTCACTCCTGTGGCACAATTTGAAGTGTCCAATGACCCTAGCATGCATGTTTTTGGACGTTGGGAGGAAGCCAGAGTACCTGGAGAGAAAACACACATACAAACATGCAAACTCGACATAGAACGGTCCTGCTTCCTGTGAGGACTTGAATCAGAAACCCTCCTGCGTTGAGGCTGATGATGCTAATCCACCACACCACCATACCGCCCTGAACACACTTTTCCTATCTAAAATAATAATGTAGTGCCACAAAATAGTTATTGGTTCTACATGATCCCAACCTAACCTTTAGGCGTCTAGAAAACTTCACGTCCAGTTGCCTAAACTGAACTTTGCAAAATTAACCTTTAGGCCGACAGAAAACTTGTGCATGGTTCTGAAGAGTTGGTTCCCCTTTATACCATTCTTTTTATGAACTGGCTTTTCAACTGGTTGGAGACAAATGTTCTCAATCAGCCCTGGAGCTACCTTAGATGCAAGTAAAGATTTGTAAACTGTGCTCAGTCACTGCTCATGAAACTGAAACTGTCAGTGCCTCTGAACGATCTGATGGAAAGAGAAAAAAAAACATTTTTAACTGACAGTCTGCATTTGTCTTCTCACCTTCTTCACATATTTTCCTTGAATCCTTTAACTAAATAACCTTCAAAAACATATCCCCTCCCTTTCTGTCATGCTGGGGAAATATCAGACTTGGCCTCCCATGGAGAAGTATGATTTGTAACTGCAATGAAATGGGAAAATGAGGGAGACTGGGGGGGCTGGGGGGGGGGTGGAAGGATAGCAAAGCAGCTCCCCTGTTGCGACAACCCGTGGTTGGGCATTAACAGGAGGTCCAGGCCGAGTAAATCTTCCACCAACTACTCAGGGCTCACACCCTGAGAGAAGTTCCAAATAATTTTTCCATACAGTAAATGACTGCATCACAGCTATGGACACTTCAATGTGTAACATTTTTTTGTCTCCACAAAAGAGAAAAAAAAACATTTTGTTATCCAAATGTCACAAGAAAGGGAAAAGTGTGGAGTTCAGTCCATTTGCATTATCTGATGATCTGTGCTAAACTGAGCACCACTAATGACACTTAAAGACTTGATATGCACAGACCGGTTTAGTCATCCAATATTAGTGATCCGGAAACAGCTTGCTCCCTCTAACTGATGTTGTTTTTACTTGTCATTAATGAGAAAACAAATCGTAGAGACAGATTCTGAATCCGGTGTAGACATCCAATCCCTCAGTATTCACGCCCTACCCAGCCTCAAACACAAAGACAGACGCAGACCCGTGTGCAAGCAGCAGGAAAACCTCCAATTAAGACCGGATGCTGCATCAATTTGAGGGCTAATTATGTGCGTAATGAGCTCACCGCAATGCGTCCGCGCCCCCGACACCAAGCTCACTGCACTAACCGGGCCCCTACCTCCACGTCCACACCCTTCTCTACGCTACCCCCAGATTTTCCCCTCCTCCATCTGAGCGCTAGGCAGCTAATTAATAAACTACATGCACCTCGTCGCTTTCATCTGATACACAACATGGAAATTAATCCTCACATAAACGTGTGTTGACGAACGTCAGGCTGTTGCTTGAGCTCTGGCTGGGCTGCATATAGCGCCAAAAGCTATATGTAAACTGCATGGGTTGCACTTGCCTAAAAAAGATCGGAAATAACTTTGCGCAAAACAAGTTTTGTCAAAGAAATTTATATACGAAAATGTGGATCCAGTCAATTTAATCCGAGGTGCAACATATGCAAATTCAACCTCAGGTTTTCCATTTCAAATCTATAACAGTAACAAAACCAAAAGGAAAAAAATGGTTTAAATCGATATATAGCCCACTTGTTTTCTCTGTGCAAGCAAATCTTTAAAACCAAAAGATAAAGATGGTCTGAACGAGGAGTGAGAAAATCGACCATGAAGATGAATGATTATGACTCATCCTTTACATAAGCAGAAGGCCTATATTTTAGTTGGTAGGCATTTATTTTAAATAAGGATATCTTAAAAGTATCGTATCGTAAGCTGCTTTTGCAATGAAGTCGAAAGAAAAAGATGTTCGTCAGATGGCAGGCATCGAAAAAAAATCGTCTATTCAAAAGGAGCAAAGGCCATTTTATTCACGTTATTCAGTTGCATTTGTGGATTTATTTTTGACAACTTTATATAGATATCTTAATCAAATATGTCCAATTTTTGGAACTAAAATTAATATTTCTGTGAGGTTATTCAGTTCCTGGAATATTTCTGTATTGTTATTTAACAAATAGGCAAACATAAGAACACCTCTTTTTGGAATTTTGGAAGCAGCAAAGGATAGATAATAACAATATTTAGACATATCCTATGTGAATAATTCCCTTGTAAATTCTTCCTCTTTTCCATGTCGAAATAAACAGGTGCCATTGTCTTTTTCTTCGTATTTGTTGATCTTTTGAAGCTTTTACTGGAGATCTTTAGAGCTTTTATTTAGCCCCTCACACCATTTCCCTGTTATTGCGTTCCATATGTATTTATTTATTTCGGCTTCAAATATCATCTCCAAGCTAATGACAAATACACAACAAGAGCACATTTAACTCACTCCGTGCACGTCAAAGTGCCGCGCTTACCACGTAGGAAGAAAACTGACACCCCACAGCACCTCTCCAATCACGTTACGGCTTCCAACTCTCCCATCCAATCAGAGAAGAGGATAGGCAGAGGGTGGGCGGGTCTAAAACCGCTCGGAGAGGGACGCTGAGTTGAGGTAGTCGAGCAGAGGCGGTTTGTTGGGCACGAATGCCACTCGTTGCGCGTCCCTGTAATTTGGAGAGGTGTATGCAGCGCACGGCCCGTTCGCCTTTGCAGGTTGAAATCCAGGAGGAGCCGAGAGCAATTTTAACTGGGACGACTGCTGAACCCGGTTCAGGACAGGTGAAATTCCCAGCAGGCTGCGTTTAAGGCCAAAAGGATCGATTCCCATGTAGGGACAGGCAGCGCGCCCCGCTCGGGTAGGAGAACCGCAAATATAAACGTCTGCGTTATTGCGACAGCTATACTGCAACAGTCTGTGGAGGTATATCTTGAATTTGTAAAGCGTTACTTCGTTGAAACGTTGGAGGAAAATCTAGCAGCGATGTGAAAGCACGTCACGGCTGTGACACAATTGTGTCTGGCCAACTGTCAGCTCCACAAAGCAACAGCAAAAGTTGTTTTTATCACCAAAACGATAGAAAATAGGGCTTGATATGAGTTATTTCCTCTCATCTTGGAATTTAAATTTCTAGGCTTAAAGCTGGATAATGGTTAAATGTCTGAAATGTTTATTTTTTATTTCTTATTTTTTAGAAATGCATTAAATCTGACACAAGTCCACCAATGGTTTTGACATACAGTGAAGGGACAGTTGTGGAATTAAACCTGATATCTTCCTTTATATTATACACCTTCTGTTGTTTTTGGCTTAACTGCCTGTTTCCTAATCGTCTAGTATCAGTTCTGTCTTTTTTAGCAGTTTGAGACTTGAAGGCCTCCAGCAGCTGAACACTGAAATCCATATGGTGCAACATTAGTTTTCTCTCCTTTCCCTGCTTTTGCAGGTCATGGATGAAGGTCAGCGGATGCACCAAGACGGATTATCCACGACCGGCTGAACTGTCGCTGACTCAGGAGTTCCGGGGATATTCACACATTTCGGATTGAACTTTTCATGTCAAAAGTTTCTTAGTTTTTTTTTTTTTTTAAATTAAATATCGCAATGAAAACAAGACAAATCCGGGAGGAATCAGGCAAACTGCTGCTTTAGATGAGCGTTATTTCCGTGCGTGGACAACTTGAAAAGGCGCTGAAATGAAGGAGAAATCCAAAACGGCCGCAAGGACTAGACGGGAAAAGGAGAACAGCGAATTTTACGAACTGGCCAAAATGCTGCCTTTACCGTCGGCCATCACCTCCCAGCTAGACAAAGCCTCCATAATCAGACTGACGACCAGTTACCTGAAGATGAGAATTGTTTTTCCTCAGGGTGAGCTATCAGCCCACGAACAGCACTTTCAACACTGCGCCATTTTTCCAATTTTATTTTGCCCTTTTTTATTTTATTATGTCAGCGACAAAGCTCATATAAAACAAAAAAAACAAAGAAAAACTTGATTAATTTACTGTTAGATATCTAGAAAAAAAGAGAATTGTCATGTTAAATAGGAACAAATGCTCAAATGCTTAAATAAAGTTAAAACGTATTAAAACGACAGAGAGGAGAAAGGTTATTTATATTAAGCCCAAACAAAACGCGTGCATGGACATTTTTTGAAAATATATGAACGTCCATATAATCAAGAATTAAACCCCCTACTTATGTGGCATCTTACAAGAAAACAACTAGATGAAATTTCACAGCATTAAATGAAATAACAAAATAATAAATAAAAACAAGGCTGACGATTATTTCAACTACAGTTATAGTTTTACAAGATTTTCTTTAAAGATATTAAGAAGCATCACAGCAAGATTTTAACTTAGTGATTCCTAATTGATCTACGGGGATTCTCTTCAAATGCATAGTTGTTTTTAATTCGGTGTGTCCAAATTAGACTCTCATGCCAGCATCTTTAATAACAGGTCTCTGCAGGTTTTCTTCTGTTCCGTGACTGAGAACACCATTCGCCAATTAGAAGAAGGCCCTGCGAGACGTATGGTCACCTAACGCCTCGCGAGGAAAATGTAAAAAAAAAAAGATGTGCCATACGATTTAATAATGAACTCACGTTTTTTATTTTTTTCAGATTTTGTTCACAATTTTGTGCCGTAAACCCGAGAAAGACTATAAGAGTATTCGCTCTATATGGCTCAGTCGTAAAAAAAAAAAAAACATTTTTAAAGATAAAAATATATATATATATATTTAAAAATCTGTTGAATTTTTTTCAGTGCATTCGACTCTTGGCAGCTGGTAGTTTGGTGTTCATTCTGCACATATACGGCAGAAACCTGCTTTCTTTTGGAGCAGAATACCCGGAAACTTTACTGATGATAACCCTGTTCCATGAAATTTCTTTATAAATTGTAATGAGCGGCACTGGCTCCTTCCTTTGTTCTTCTGAAATTCAACACTAATACATTAATATAAAAAACCCCACAAAATTTATTTTAAAAAACCATCTTAAAAGTTTACAATTTTAACTTTGAGCAAGACTGATTTTAAATAAGAGTGCAAAGATAATTCCAAGTTAAATTAAATAAATTGTACTAGATTTTTTCCACCTCAGTGAGACAAGAGGGAAAAAACTCCAGAATTTATTCCTTGAACTTCTAAATATTTCATTTAAAGATGAGCGTTTCCCCTGCGGTTAGGAGTGTGTGTGTCTGTGGAGTGTGTCCTACCGTGTAAGGCAAAAATAACAATGGAAATGAGAGTAGCAATAAAAACGAAAACAGTAACGAATTACGGTTGTGTTAGATAAAAAGATACGCCTTTCTTTCTCCTCATAAAGTGAGGCAACAGGCAAATGGTTTGATTTCACGGTTTGCAGGTCTTGGAGAGGCTTGGGGTCACGCGAGCCGAACGAGATCTTTGGACAATATTGGACGGGAGCTGGGATCTCACTTGCTGCAGGTATCTCCATTTTTCAGAATTGTCCGTGCCACGGACACGTGTGCAATCTGCCCGGAGACTCATCAGTGTCGTTTATTTACAGACGCTGGACGGATTCATCTTTGTTGTCGCTCCGGATGGGAAGATCATGTACATTTCAGAGACGGCGTCGGTCCATTTGGGACTGTCTCAGGTCTGTGTGTGCGGAGTAATCCTTATTTTGACTTCTCATTTTCTGCGCCTGTGTTTGTTAACGCCACATTTTGGCCGGCACGCGTGGCACATGAGGACTTTGCGCAGAATATGCCACTCGTTGACTCCCCGTTGATTACCTGAGTTATTCTCAACAGGTAGAGTTGACCGGGAACAGTATTTATGAGTATGTCCATCCTGCCGACCACGACGAGATGACAGCTGTGTTAACGCCACATCAGCCCTATCATTCACACTTTGTGCAAGGTATTACAGCCGTATTTCCACTTCCAGGCACCCCATACTCTGACAGAATGACGTTGAATTGCGATTGAAAGCCCACGTAAAAGCATCGCTGTTTGCTCATTTATTCCTGCTTTTTCGAAACAAGAATAGCTTTTATTATTTTATTTTTTATTCAGCATATTATTGTTGTCTTTTTTAAATCATCCTTTAATGTTTTTTCTATTTTTAATGAGCCTGTGCAAAATAGTTGTTCTAAATTGAGTTAGAGGGTGGCAACAATTGATGCACCCCTCTTCTAACTGAACACACGATTAGTCATTTACAACAGTCACTGTGTTTGTGCTTTTTCTCAGAATATGAAGTGGAACGCTCTTTCTTTTTGAGGATGAAATGTGTGCTGGCAAAAAGAAACGCAGGGCTCACCAGTGGAGGATACAAGGTTAGGTTTTGCTTGAAAAAAAAAAACAAATGTTATTTCTAAGGAATACTATTAAACACCATTTATTCTATTAAATTCATTTAAAAAAATTATGAACACTACATTGTTGTATAACTCAATTAAAATATGATCTTATTAATGTTTAAAAAAATGTCACTGTCTTTTTTATGTTGAGGAGAATGTATTCAATGACTAACATATGTACTTTTACACTATTCCCTAATTTGGATCAGAATCATAAACAAGAGAGAGAAGACACTGAACATATGACTTTTAAAAAAAATTCTAAATATGGAGCTGTACGTTTAGGTTTGTCTGGACTTTTAAAAAATGATTTTCCTCATATATCTCGTTGTTTTGGAATGACAGGTCATTCACTGCAGCGGCTACCTGAAGATCCGTCAGTACAGTCTGGACTTGTCCCCCTTTGAGAGCTGCTACCAGAACGTGGGCCTGGTGGCTGTGGGTCACTCTCTGCCGCCCAGTGCTGTGACTGAGATCAAACTGCACAGTAACATGTTTATGTTCAGAGCCAGTTTGGACATGAAGCTCATTTTCCTGGACTCCAGGTACAAAGCATGACTGCTCTTGCAAATTTCGTAGTCAAGCGCTCTATTTCGAGCGAAAAAATTAGGGGGATTTTTAATGAACTAGGAAAAACAAGTTCTTTAAGGGGTTGCTGATGGTAAGATAAATATGGACCTCTGCATATTTCCAGCTATTTAATTTCTTTGCAGGGTAGCTGAGTTGACAGGTTATGAGCCCCAGGACCTCATAGAGAAAACTTTGTACCACCACGTCCACAGCTGTGACATCTTCCACCTCCGCTGCGCTCATCACCTCTGTGAGTTACAAGCTTGCTTGTCTTGGAGTCTAACCTGTAAGACGCTAGCTGTTCAGGCAACCTGCCGCAGCCGCCACGTGCTGACAAATACACAATGCTCATGCTCAGAACATGGGTGTCATTAAATATATGCATATATTATTCTTTGCTGAAGTTTCTTTTATCTCCTTCAGTGCTGGTAAAAGGCCAAGTCACCACCAAGTATTACCGTTTCCTAGCCAAGCACGGAGGATGGGTCTGGGTCCAGAGCTACGCCACCATCGTGCACAACAGCCGATCGTCGAGGCCTCACTGTATTGTCAGTGTCAACTACGTCCTTACGTGAGTCTGAGGAAAGATTTCTATTCTAAAACTAAAGATATTTCATCATAAATATGTATTCTTTGAAAAGAAGCTCCTGTTAAAGAGGCCTTTGTTGGTAAATGAATTGTGCATATGAAGTGGTTGCAGCCTTCGATCTGTATTTATACATCACGTTTCAGATATCATAGTTCATTAGGTATTTTAATTGCTGCAAGGTCTTTGTATTGTAACTTGAGTTTATACAGGTCCAGAAAAAATGCTTTCCATGAATTATTTGCTGGGACAACAGCTCTGAATATTTAACAAGATTCAGGGAAATTGTAATCATACAGTCTTATGTTCCGTTCTTGAAACTTGCTCTGTAATATTATGGGTCTTTGTCTCTCAAAGGAATCCAAAATCCCTTCTTCTTATCCTTCTGTAGGACCTCTGTACAAATTCAGCTAATACTGTGGCTGTAGGGTTCAGGCAGTTGTGTGTTATGAGAGCACAAAGCACACTCAGGCCTTTTGAGACAGCAAGACAAACACCAGGGTTCAACCCCATCAGAAAATCTCTACTGTCTCCATCGATCCACAGTCTAAGGAAAGAAAAATCAATCAAACGGTGAACTAGGAATCAATAGCTATCTCATAGCTGTAGCACATGTTGGATTTTCCTCATTAGGTGTGGCTGATCCATGTGTGTCTTTTTGTGTGTGTGTGTGTGTGTCTGTGCATATGGTGTTGAGTCCAGGTGAGTCTGTGTGTGCATGCATGCATATGGCTGCACTCTAAGTATCGATTTCCTCAATGCAGTAAGGAGAAAACAAAGTAACTACATTAAAATGACAGTGAATTTCCAAGCACATAATTAGGCCTAACACGGAGGTATCCGAGAGCTCACACGCAGCAAAAGTGCAACAAAACAACTTCTTTGGAAAAATAAACAGCAATTCAATCACTTTGCCTTGGCAGCTTTCTACCTCCACAAGAATCCATTAACTAATCATGTTTTGAGGTTGGCTGGTGGCATATTTCAGACATGAGGTGCTCTGACATTGACCCTGAAGTGGAATTTGGCTAACACAGCTGAGTTTGCACAAAGGCCCAACGATATTGGCTTTGATATAAGTTAGCCAGGGCTCAGATAGGATGCAGAACGATACCTGCAAGACCAAAAACACACAATGACCCGGCTGTCTAAACAGAGCCTTTCCCCCAAGGTGTCATACATAAAGAGTGGGTCATATTTAGAATCGTATGAAAAAGAATGGCTGCACAGGGTCACAAATGGGCCACAAGGTTTAAAATGCCAAGCAGCTGCTACTACATACTGTTGCAGTGATAAGGTAAGAATAGGGTGTTTGCTGAACTCCTAACAGGAACCTTTTTCATTATCTCCACAGCAACATGCGGTATGAGTTCAGCCGCAGGACAGTTTCTTATACCATGCAAACACTCAAAGTCTGCAAAGAGCAAAAAATACTTTTTCTCCAGTTGCTTACAAAAAAAGTATATAGCAAAGATGTAGCTGCATGTGTTTGACTGTTTCACCACACTGCCTTGTGGCAGCACTTAGGTAATGGTTGTGTGGCTGAAAAAAATGTTTAACCCTCTTCAGGGTGTCTGCTATTTATCTCGGAAGCTCAGGGCTTAATAATCTCTTGAATTGATCTTAACTGTAGTTTTCACTGCTTATTGTCCTCCCATGACTCATATCATGACAAATGAGTCTGGAAAATAAGTCGGGCCAGCTATCTATATTCAATATTAGCCAAGACGTCTGGGTCAAAGTAATTATTGATTACGTCACCCGCTGCAAAACAATCACCCGGGCTGTGTAAGAACAGCAGGATATACTCGGATTATTTGAGAGAGTATTGGTCTACCGGCCAACTTTAAATGATCAGAACCCAGTGGCACTGACTGTTAAGCTGTTCTTTTACACACAACAAGCAGAGTCATGATGATTTTAAAAAAGGTAAGCTGAAAAAAAGTGTCAGTATCTGGTCGGAGCCCGCTTTAACAGAAGGTGCTTGTTGTGGTTGGAATATATATGCGTCCCCCGCTGTGCCAACATGTTCGCACAGTTAAGTTTCTTGACAATAATGCAGCAATTTTACACATTTCAAAACTGCAATAAGGCTATTTTGGCATTAATCAGCCAAAAGACCATGTTACAGGTTGCAGGTTGTGCTGTATTTAATGTTCAAGCATGTTCTTACTCAATCCTCTCTTTTGTTCAGATCTCAGCTTGGTTCTGAGTGGTATAAAACCAAGCTAACCAAGATTACTAAACCAATATGTAATAACGCCTGACCAACATTTAAAGTAAAACTTTTCCCTTGACATGTTTATTTTCTGTGTCAAAAGGGATACTGAGTATAAGGGAATGCAGCTGTCTTTGGACCAAATGAGCCCCACCAAGCCAGCTTTTCCCTATGCCGACAGCCACAGTGAAGACAGGAAGAGCACCAAGTCACGTCTGACCCAGTCAAAGGCCAAAGTCCGAGTGTCACCCTACCCACAGGTAAAAGACTTTTGTGGACCAGTCTAACAGGGAAGGTTTTTTTAGATTCAATTATATGAAACTATTTTGATTCGGATCACACATAGCTGCGTCTGTTGTCTTTTCAGCAAGCTTTCAATCCCGAGCGTTCAGAATCCGACCAAGACAGCCAGTGGGGTGGGAGCCCGCTGACAGACTCTGCCTCCCCTCAGTTGTTGGACTCCAGCGAGGCTGCAGAAGCTTCGTGTGCCTACAGACTGTATCCAGACCCAGGCTCCCTGTGCTACAGCCTGGGTCTATCAGAGGACGATCTCGCACATGCCCAAACGCATCCCCACACCACCACCTGCGACCGCGTTCGATGCCAGAGTGGCCGATACTTCCTGGGAGCACCTCAGACGGGGAGGGAGATGTGGTGGGACAGCACACGCTCTGTGCTGTCCCTTCCCAAATTCTCAGTGGAGAACAGCGAGGGCTATGAAATCACATCTTACCATGGCGCCATTCACGGTGAGGTGTTAGGGTTGAGACCGCAACCATCTGTCTCTGAAAATAACTCTGGCCTAGCTTCTTCTGGTAGCTGTTTTCCAAATGTTATTATGGGCCATGCTAAGTTGTTTACGCCGTCTCTTGCCAGTGTGTCGATTGCTACCATCTGTTCAAAAATTGCCCGCAATTGAAAGCCAAGTTATTTCACATTTCACATCCTCAAACAGTGAAACAACCCCCGCTGTATGTGTGCCAAGATATCAGACAATGATTCCATTTGCATGGAGAGCAGAATCGTACACATTAACCACATGTGCATCATTTAACAGGCTGGAATTCATTTATTTAATTTCTCGTCATAGGACGGGGCCACTGGGATGAAGACAGTGTAGTGAGTTCACCTGATGGGGGCGGATCTACCAGCGATTCAGGTGAGCGGTACCATGGCGACCAATACCAAGCGAGCCCTCGAGAGCCCAGTAAGATGGAGACGCTTATCCGTGCCACGCAGCAAATGATTAAAGAAGAAGAGAACCGTCTACAGCAGCACAAAGGACTCCTGGACGGGTCGGGCCTCAGCAAAACTCACAGCCCATGCTTCACCTCTGCCGTGCCACATCACTCGCAGCTTAACATGCCCAGCGTGGTGTGCCGTGGCCCTGGGGCCCCCAACATCGACCTCCCCTCTGAGCGCCTGCATCACCGTGACGGCATCAAAGTGCTGGGCCAACACGATAATGATGAAAACACAACCAGTCCAGCGTCTTTGTCCCGTCTCAGTAGCCCCAGCTCCGACGGAATCCCACGGTCGGGCCTCCCTCTCACCAAAGACTACATGCAGACAGACCTGTCCCCCCATGCAGCACATTCCCAGGGGAGCCCTCTGCTTTATCCAACCCAGGAGAGGCAGCCACTGGACAGACAAGCAGCTTACGCCTTGGCCGGATACTCCCTGGAGCACCTGTACGACCCAGAAAACTTGAGGAGTTACTCTGGTCTTGCGTGTGGAGGGGTTCAGTACGACGTGACATCGCACATGAGAATGCAGGCTGAGCAGATCCAGGGACACAAGCCCACCTCTGTCATCATAACCAACGGCAGCTGACGATATCTGGTGCACATTGGTCCTGCTGTCTGAAAATTGATGATGATGTATGCATGAGCATGAATGACCATGTGCTTGATGCAAAATGCAAGACAGAAGGATACATGGAACTTGTGGTGGACAGATGACTCCTTGGTTGTTTGTTCAGTACTTCTTGTACTTGTCAGGTCTTTGTATTGTACCATTTTCTTTTCTTTATCACCCAAGGACTATATTTAGGATCTGACACAAGATACAGCACCTGATACTGGGAGGAGACTTGTCCCATTACATCGGAAACTTTTTTTTTAATGGTGTTGAACTGAATTAGCCTCCCACCAAAAGCTGGTTAAACATCAAACAGGTTTTATTTCTGTTCTGCTCTCCTCATGCGCCATTGCCTATGTGAGTTAATCTGTCCTGGGTGCGATTTCCGAGGGCAGTGGGAAAATGTGTTGTTCCATTTGTTCCTTTTACCTGAAAAGTCTGTTGCACAAAGCCTAATGTTTCACAAGCAAAGTGCAACTGAAGAAAGACCGAAAGACAAGTATTTCACTATCGTAAGATGTCAATGTTTCCTAGTATTTATTTGTGAGTTGACTGTTTTCTGTATATGTCATTTTTCCTGTCGGAGTAGGAAACTTTACTGGTGGCAGTTAGTTTTGGTGTTTGGATCACACCATTATTACAATATTAGATTAAAAAGATAAATAAACTGGGAAAACAGAATAAATAACTGCCTATGATATGTTAAAGTTGGCTTAAAAACTAAAACTGCCCCAATTTTGATGGCAAAGATATGTAACCAAACAAATTCTTGTTTTCTCTCTATAATTCGGCAAATATATAAAACCTCAGTTGATATATTTTTTCTTTTACATCTCAGAGTATATTTTTTTCCTATTATTAGCTTCTGCCTACCTAACATTTTCTTATAGTAGCATATGCTAAAAAAAGTCCTTAAATTCTTCCCCACATAAAATTTTTCTCACAGTACGGCAGCCTAAAGGGTACAAAAGGTTGATATGAATATGTTTTAATAAGGATGTTTTTAGTTTCCTGTTTAATTTATGATGTAAATATTATTACGTGGTGAAATTTTGGAAAAGACACTGCAAGATTATTTATTAATTGGTTTTTTTAATGAATCCTAAATCTGAATACAGCCAACAACTATTTTGTTTGAGTTGATTTTTGTCACCTGTCAAAGTGACTTTAAAATTAATAGACATACACATACTGCTGCTGCCTCAGAAAACTGATATTTGAATATCCTGTATATATAAATATAGATGTATAGTATCCTATAGTGTTTCGTCTTTACTTTCTTCTTTTTTATTTTGTAGGAAAAAAGAGCCTAAAAACCTTATGTCCACTGCAGATCTGATTTTTCTTTCCCAGGATAATACACAAACCAGTCATTTGAGAACATGTTTTTTATTTGTTGTTTTCTTGTCTTTTTTCCCACTTTACTTATTTACCCACTAGCCAAAGCAAGGTACAGCAAATCACTTTTATTAGTACAATTCAAAAGTGCCTCACATTGAGCACAAAAGCAATAAAAACTGAATTTACAGTTGAAATTATGAAAGGTAAAGTACAGTGAAAGTTGACTCTTTCACATGGAGGAGCCAGTTCTTTCGGGCTTGGGATGCGCAAGCAATTTCGCACTGGTTTTCCCTTTTTTACGTGAGATCACTGACGATGCAAAAACGTATAAAAAAAATCACTTTTTTTCCAGAAGAGAATTAAAGCAGATTTACTGCAGGATAACCGCAGCCATTGTCCAAAAGTTGTTCAAAAATCCTGGAAAAGTCATGAGTTTTCTGTGTGCTTGCAGTAACACGTCCCTTCCCTTTTAGGCAGTTGAACTTGCGCATTTAGCCACTCTGACCTCTGCTCAGAGGCAGTTTCCCTGCGGTGTACTTTAATGTATGCAAGTAATTCACATGTAGCTGGAGAGCTTGCCTGCCTGTCTGTCTGAACTGAGACGGACCTGGACACAGACTTGGCCAGGAAGCAGAACTCCCATCAGTCACCCCTGACGTGACTTTGTGATGGTCTGCCAGATATTCTGTTGCTGTCATTCCGGGAGGCAAAACTACTACAACTCTCAGTTGCTGACATCATCGAGGTTTATGAACAGCGTGTGTGTGAATGAGTGTGTGTAAATGTGTTTTATTGCGAAGACACTTCAATAATCAGGGAGCTTTTTTCCCTCCAAACACTGGGGCTTTTGCCTGATGTGCCCTGAAGGCTTTCACATGTAGAGTCAGTTACAAATTAGGCCAAACACTGGGCTTTTTGCCCAGACTTTGCACTTCAGCATTCACCTCCCCAACTATGTCCTCCCTCACCAAAAATTCTCCTTGCCTCAGTCTAAAGAAAGAAATGGTAAATTATGGGATTTGAGAAGCAGAAGAAAATTGTAGAGCTTTGCGCAAGTAGGAAGGAAGATTAACAGTTTTCTTGGAAGATTTAGGAAGAACCAAACATTTCAGTAGCGAGGAGTCATAGTGGGTAAGGAAAGTTTCACCATCAGTGTTGTACTTGGAGTCCAAAGTAATAATCTAGCCTACATGCCATATAAAATCTATATATAGTTAATAAGATAACATATTAATCATATAAACACACATTATCAAACTATCATTGATTAAATCACGTGTAAGATCTCATTTGATCTAGTAAACGGTCTTAAAAAAATTTGAACATTTAATCTAAAACAATTCAGTATCTAGATTGGTATCACTTTATATGTTGTTAATAAGAGATTAAAAATACAAATCTTTAAATAATTGATCTCTTCGGTCTTGACCATTGTTTGTGACCAAACCTCCGTGATATGGTCTTGTAAATATTTCCCTTTAAAAAGTTATGTACTTAATTTTCAGTAAAAACTGACACATGAATAACTATGAATATTTTTTTATTCTAGTTTCCAATCAGCAAGTTAGAAAAATCAGGGTGCATTGGAAAATTCTCTACCTGAACGGATGATTGATCGCAGTTACAAGAGACGAAGATGCTAGCTGTGTTGTGTTTGATTCTGCATTTAGTGTAAAACAACAGTAACGCGAGGTGTACGATCCCAGGCTTTAACAGCTGCAATGAAATACAAGTTAATCTTAACTTCACAAATGACCTCAGAATATGAGGGTGCAGGTGGCAGAGCTCAGAATAGCCACTGAATGTCTACTTGATTGATTTCAGGCGCAGGATTGAGGCACAATTGCATATTCATGCATCAATTAAAGTGTTCCTCCACTAGAGCCTCCATAATTCAACCTGGCACTTAGGGAAGAGTCATGCTTATGAAGCACATTCAGAGCAGCACAAAGGAAAATGTTTCAACATGTTTTCTGCCCATGTGTACATTATGAGCACTTTGAGGGTGAATTGACATCTTAATTGTTTAATTCCTCTCCCACATAAATCAACCTGGAAATAACTTCTCTTTCCACCCCTTGCACCGAAACACACTTGCAGGGTGTTAATTGTTGCAAACATTGTACAAAAGGAGAGTGTACGCTATTCTAATGATCTTGGAAATCTGGATTTGGTGTGAGCATCAATATTCTTGGTTAATGTTTCTTAAAATGCCTTTAAGTTGTCTTCAGGATTAGTTCAGTTCTGCATGAGATCATTTCTGACATGGCTGAAATGAATCAACTGACTGGCCAGGTGCCGTTTTCAGGTCCTGTGTCAAGCCCTATTCTGTATTCTCTCTTGTTTAAAGCATTTTATTCATTTATTTATTTCATACATGCATCAATATAGCAAGACTTGGAGTATGGTGTGCTGATATCCACAGACTGCTCTAAATTATTTTTAGGTTAGGTGCTTTTCTGCTTATCTGGTAATCACATTCTGAGTAGGTTTTAGATGCTCGTCCATCTAAGGCATATGCATATATATACACAAATATATATAGAGAGATGGATATTATTGCTGTATCTTTGTGTAACTTACAAGATCCAAGAAATGTGTATGAATCTCTTGTTGCAAAAGGGTAAATGACCATGACGAAGCACAGGACGTGGGAAAATCGTTCAAGCAGAACTTAAGTGACACCTGTACAACAGACCTTACCAAACCAGAGGACATTTAGATGTTCTGATTGGGTAAACCAGGATATTGAGGTCATCCACTTGATCTAAGCAACTGAATTGGAAACTGCAAAGTGGAGAGTAAATAATGATTCGCGGTGGCAGCATTGAAATTTTATTTGTTGCTTTAAAAATTTGTTGTTAATGTACCGGTAATGAGGATCTTTGAAGAGTTATTTTTAGTCTAATATTAATCTACGTTAATACCCGATAATTCAATTGACATCTAATCTAACTTAAATTTTATTTGTATTTCCTTTCAAAATTTTAAATGACATGCCAGAAAGTTTTCAGATTTTTAAAAATGCCCATTAAAAGACAGTAATAATGAGATGTTCTCAAACTATCTGTGCTTAGTTAGATTTTGTTTCAGAACAAGTCAAGAATCTTTAGTTCAATGCTAAATTATTTCCAATACCTGCTGGGTATTATTGGGCCGAGGATTGAAACCTGTAGTGTACATTTAGAAGAAGATAGGGACAGTAAAAAAACATGGTCTGCGGTCATGATGTCCAAGTTTATTTACATAGCTTATTTAAAGGAAACATAGTTTGAAAACACAATAGAAAAAAATAAAAACCCAAATGTTCAAATAAATCTTAAGCTTGACTGTGATGAAAGAAAATGCAAATCAGTGGGTCTTTAGTAACGACTTAAACTCTGAAATTGTCTAAACAGCTCCAACATGAAGAGGCAGACTGTCAAATAATAATTTTGGAGCAACCACAAAAATGTTTCTTCACCCCTGGAACCTTGAACCTCAGCAAGGAGCTGGGTTGAAGAACTTAATTAATGGTAAGAAATGCCATGTTTTTGAGGGGGTATATCAAACAGAGAGGCAACAGATGTAGACAACACAGGAGAAGACTGCCACTGAGAAGTGCAGAAAAAGTCCCAGCACATAAGTAAGGTTTAAATGAGTTTAAAACAAGGTCTCTGATGCATGCTCACTGCTCCAGACGTACCAGAATGAACTGGTGATGGGTAGCTGTTGATGTCTAAAAGCACCATGATAGCATAGCATCCAGAATAAACAATTAAAAAAGGGTGTTGACAGCTCTTAAAAGAGTTAAGTGAACATGTTGTCATGTCATATTAGCAAGGCGGTTTGAGAACCACTGCAAAAACTGATATGAGATTACAATTACACCTTACCCTAAGAGAAAAAGGGGAATAATTTTGTTTAGAATTTACTGGAATTTTGGTAACTATAGGTAATAAAACATATCATTTCCCTTTTATTTTCCTTTTTTATCCATTCAGGCTCACTGAACCAGTACAATGTTTCTACTTTTATTATTTTGATTTATAAAAGTCCACCTTTGAATACAGCATAGGTCAGTAGCTGGCAATTAATACACAAATTGGCAGCTTAGGTGATTAATACAGTTACAATGTGCAAAAAGTATTAACTTATTTTGAAGCCAGAGAAGCATGAAATAGTGCAAATTAAAGAACGAAGTTGGATGTAGTAACTTTGACTAAATGTTGTGTTTTTAATGAAACCGATTTTTAAAAAAAGGTGAGATCACTTACACAAAAGTGAACAAAACCGCCTTAATTCAAAACTCCCTAATCCCTTGGCAATAAGGCTATTAAAAAGACTACAAGTACAATATCCTGAGCCCCTATCACACACACACACTCACACACACCTCCAAGGCTCAGACAGTGTGAATCTAATGCCCCCCAATCCTGTGAATCCCTTTGTTCCCGATTTCACGCTTGATTTGCCCACAGCTTGAGCCTGGCTGGTATCAGCACTCTTGTCACTGCTTTCACTCCTGCCAAATCCACAGAGCCACACAGGATCCATGTCTCCTCTCCCCAGCTCTCTCTGCTCTGTTCTGCCATTGTACGTCCCAGCGTCTCAGCAAAATGCTCAACACGTGCCAACAAGTTGTATTTGTTTGTTTGTTTATTTGGATCCCATTCTATCTCAGAGTAAACACTGAGAGAATCTGCCAAGACCAGATCAGAGT